GGGGGGGGGGTGGTGTGTGTGCATGCGCGCGGGTGTATCGTGGGCAGGGATGGGTGGGTGTGTGCATGGGTGTATCCTGTGCGGGGGTGCGCGGGGGTGTGCAGGTGGGACGGGGGTGCACACGGGTGTGGCTGCGCGGTGCCTCTGCCTTCGCGTGCACACACACACGCACACAGGTTTGTAGGTGTGCGCACACACGCGCGGGTTTGTCGGCGTCTGTACACACACGGGTGTTTGTAGGGCGCGTAGGTGGGGGTGCGTGCACACGCGTACGGGTGTTCGGGGTGCACAGGCACGCACGGCGCTGGGAGGTGCGTGTGTGTGTGTGTGCTCACACGTGGGGCTGTGGGGGCACACGCGTGTGGAGGGGCACACGGGGGTGTGCGGGTGTGCCCGCGCGTGCTCTAGGGCCTTGGGGGGGGCAGGGGTCTGTGTCTGTGTGTGTCCATCAGTGTGTGTCCACGTGTACGTGTGTGTCTGTCTGTCTGTGTCCATGTGTCTGTCTCTCTCTATCCATGTCTACGTGTGTCTGTCCGTGTGTGTCCATCTGTGTGTGTGTGTGTGTGTGTGTCCGTGTGTCCATGTCTCTGTGTGCATCTGTGTGTCTGTGTGTCCATGTATCTGTGTGTGTGTGTCCATGTCTGTGTGTCCATGTCCGTGTCTGCGTGTCCGTGTGTCCGTGTGTGTCCCTGTGTCTGTCCATCTGTGTCTGTGTGTCCATGTCCATGTCTGCATGTCCCTGTGTGTCCGTGTGTCTGTGTGTGTCCATGTGTGTCTGTGTCTGCGTGTCCGTGTGTCTGTGTCCGTGCCTGTGTTCCTGTCGGTGTCTGTGCGTCTGTGTGTGTCCCTGGGTCTGTCCATGTGTGTCTGTGTGTCCGTGTGTGTGTCTGTGTGTGTCCGTGTCTGTGTGTCCGTGTGTCTGTGTGTCTGTGTGTGTCCGTCTCCGTGTCCGTCTGTCGGTCTGTGCGCACCGGCGGGCCTGAGGGGCGGGGCACGGGCAGGGGGGCGTGTCCCTC